TTATCTTCTTGTTAACAAAGTTGACTTCACCTTTACATGAAAATACACCCACAATTCACAGACAATTTAGAAACTTTTGTTGGTAAAAAAGTAAACTGTTCACTTTTTCTAATTAAACCCTGATACATTGTCATTTCATCCAGCAAATTTTATGAGCACCTCTTAAATTCCAAGTACTAGAAATGTTGATTTTAAATAAATATTCACTCACATAACTAATTTGTGTGAATATGTCTTTTCTCAAAGAAAATCCTCATATTATATATTTAAAATCCCCACAAAATTCAAATCTTCCCCAGCTCAACTTAATCACCCCTTCACATTTAACAGATGAAAAAACTGAGTTCCAATATCATAAAGCACTTCACAGCAGTACTGAACTAAACCCTATGTCTCATCTTTCCATCCATTGATGTTTCTATTATCCCAGACCTTACTTTTGAGAACAGATATCACAAAAATTAAAGATCGCCGATTTTTTTTAAAAAAAGAGGCAAGTATAAAGTTCTTCTGAAAACAGGATACAATTACAGGATTTCTAATACATTTCTTATAAGCTAGTGGTTGATTTAAAGTGTTTGCACAGAGCTCATTTAATCTTCAAAACAACAAAGTTAATCCTACTATCTTCATTTTTCAGATGATGAAAACTGAGACACAGAAACATTAAATAACAGATGAAGGTGACACCGTAGTACAAAACATAGCCTTTATATTGTGGCAACTTACAGCAAACATTTACTGAACATTTACAATGTTCCACTCATCTTGTTGCATATTGCAATGCATGATCTCATGCTACCTTTATTGTCACCCTTTGAAAAAAGTACATTATTACTCCATTTTTATAGTGGAGGAAATAGAAGTATAGACACGCTTAGTAACCTGCCCAAGGCCATATATCTGTGAAACAACAAGTTAATACATAAATTCATGTTTGATTCCAGAACCAGCGTTCTTTGCCTCCATGCAATACTAAGTACCAAACAAAACACAATAAATACCATAGCTCCTTGCCCTGCTGCTATTGCTACTTTCTCTGCAGGCTTCTTACTCTAAAGCAGTAAGAAGGGACATGTGAGAGTTAGGATAAGGAGTAGGGTTAGCAGAGAAAAAAACATAGTGGACTCTTCAAAGATTGACCGCTGTCCTCTTCACTGAGCAATACGTGTGTGTAGATTTATGTATATATAGTCAGTATGTCTATGTAGTCATGCATTACAATATTGCTTGTACCTGACCCCTTTGCCTAACTTTTTCTATAATCTGGAGATGACAAATTTATTTATTTGTTTGTTTGTTTAACTCATTTTTCCTGTGGTTGTGGTTTTTGTTTGTTTTGAGACAGGCTCTAGTGATATAGCTCAGAATGGCCTACAATTTATGATCCTTCTGCCTCAGTCTCTCAAATGCTAATTAATATTTTTTCCTTTTATGCAGTGTTGTCGTCAAATACAGAGCTTTACACATGCTAACAAATTTATCTTTAATTCATATTTCATGACAGTTAATATTAATGAACAGATCAGTAATTTAGATATTAGAGAAAGTTTATAGAGGTGACAAAGGTTAAGAGAATAACACACATAGTGCTGGGTATAGTGGTGCACACCTGTAATTTTAGCACTAGGGAGGTTGAGGCAAGAATTCTTTGATCACCTGTTTTTGCTGTTTTGTTTTTCTTCTCTTTCTTAGTCACTCTTTCTACTCTATCTCTATTGTTTCTTATTCAATTACAAGCCTGCTTATCTCACTTTTCTCTACTTCTCCTATTAAATCATTAATTTTTTTTTTTTTTTGTCTTTTTCCTTTTTATCGGTACCAGGGATCGAACTCATGACTGCCTGCTTACAAGGCAGGTGCTTATGCCGCTGAGCTAAATCCCCAGCCCCATCATTAATTTTTTGCATTTTGCTTTTTTGCATATGTCAGTACAAACAGCCATCAGAAAAGAATCTCTCCATGATGCATCATATTCAAAATCCTGGCATCCTAACACAAGAACAGAACCTTAAAAGCAGTCAGAGAAAATCAAGAAATCACTTATCAAAGCAAATCCACTAGAATCACACCAGACTTCTCAAACTTTAAAGGCCAGGAGATCTTGGAGTGAAGTGTTTCAAGCCATAAAAGAAAACAATTTCCAAAGCAAACTAAATAAGCAAAATAATCTTTCAAAACTGACTGATAAATAAGATACTTTGATGATAAAGAGCACCTAAGGTAATTCATGACCACCAAACCAGCACTCTGAAAACTGTTCAGGGATACATGCCCTAGAATGAACCAATGAAACTATAAATGACTATATATGTAAATATATATTGGAATGAATATACCAGCTAAGGTGAGCAGTTAAGTGGAAGGGAAAGATAGTCAGTACCTATCAGTAGTAACTTTCAATGTTAATGTTCTCAATTCCCCAGAAAGCCACAGACTGGCAAACAGTTCAAGAAACAAAATCCAACAGTGTGTTGCATACAAGAAACACATTTTATTCCTCCAAAAACATCATAGACAAAATATCAAATCATAGAAATATTCTATGCAAGTAGATCAAGACATGGAAGGAAGAGGCAGGGAGGAAAGAAATAAGGGATAAAAAAAATAAATTGGGAAGTGTTATGAACATTTACTGATTCCACCCAAGTATTGTAAACATTATATACTGCAAACGTGTACACGCAAAAAAAATAAATAAAGGAAGGGGATCAAGAGAGGAGGGAAGGGAGGGAAAGGAAACAAATTTTTAAAAGAGAACTACAAGGTATTACCTGCATGTATCTCCATGCCATTATGTACTAATAAACAAACAAAAATGTACCCTCATAAAATTTGCTTTAAAAGACAACAACATCTAGGAATATAGCCCAAGGAATTTTTCACTAAATGAGGAAGCATATATTTTAGTTCTTAGAAAAACCATGCCTTGGCGACTTTTCACCTAGATTTCTTGATTCTTTGCATTGAAAGGTATGTGATAATTTTTCCTTTCGCTGAATTTTGCTTTTTACAGTTTTAACTGAATATTAAGCACTTTTCCTATGCCACTGCTATTCCAGATTATCCATGTCTACATGACCCCCGGTCATCTTTAGCTATGACTAACTGTATGACATTTCTCAGCCACACATACCTAGACTATTTGGGGGTTTTCCAATCTAATATCATCTACTTAAACCTGCACCAGCAGACTGCCATTTCCTTTGTTCCTTGTGTAGACCTGGTTTAACTTACCGGATCTCTAAAAGGGACAGTCTTGGAGAGAGGGTTGAGCACAGGAGATTGGCAGCTTTAACTGCACAATTTGGTCTACTAGCTTTGTTATGCTAAACTTGCTAGCTCCTCCAAGTGTACCTTCCTGACTTTGCATCACACTATACTAAATGCCTAAGGAATCAAGGGTTGTTTTTTTTAATTAAAAAGAAAAACAAATGCAAACCAATGGAATGTTTTTTTAAAATTATCACATATGCATTCTTCGAAGTGTAAGCCTTCACAAATCCTGTTAGACTAGAGACTTTTAAAAATAGAAAAGCAGAGAATACTGATCAGGTTCCAACGAGCGAAAACAGGTGATGTCATAGCACAGTCCACTGTGGTCACTGCTAAGGCCGCGTAGGGAGCTGCGGCTCCAGGGAGCAGGCGCTCTCCGTCACAGGGAGATGCAAGTCATCCCCGGGGCCCTGCGGACACCGGTGAGCTCCGAGCACCAATCAGGTTCTTGATCCGCGCCTGTCTTTGTTCTCACTGGGGAGCAGGTTTCTAGCGTCTAGCGTCAGCAATCCGCATTCCACCCGCAGGCGCGTTGTTGGCCCCCTCTGGGTACCTGGCTTCCCTCTCAGCTGTTCCTACACCCCGTCAGTTATATTGTATCTGAGTCTCTCCCTAGAATGCGGACGCTACAACCTTGACTCTCTTTTTTTTAGCTTTGAAAGAGGTAGGTCCAGCCCACTTCTTTTAAGGGCAAATGTTTTAAAGGACAGTTTGTTTTTTGAACCTTTCTTTGCAAGCAGATTTCCTTGCTCTGCGCATGTATGACGAGCTGCCTTAGAAAGGACTTCGGCGCGAGAAGACAAACCTCTCGTTGGCCCTTTAGTGCTGGACAATTAGCATTTTTATTGTCGAGAAGACTGCGTGAAGGTGCTTCAGATAGAGGAAACTGTTTAACCAGAGACGTGTCTACCTCCATAAACTCGGTTAATTGTATGCATCTGTCTCAAATATCTACTTTCACCCCAATTTCAAGCTTCACGTAACTGGTCTTTTGCACAAGCCTAACAATAAATGATGCGTAAAGTTCTTTGAGGTCTCAGGATGCAAAGTCCTGCAAGACTGCAGTCTTCTTTACAGCTAAACATAGGTTTTGCCTGAAAAAGGCCGAAACAATATTTCAGTGGAAGGAACGTTTTAGTCTGTATCCTACATTCCCTTTTTCAGGATATCAGGAAGTGTTTAGCCCAGTTTTAGACTTTCTAGTGAGCTCTAGCTTTCCAGCTATTTATTTCACTTTGCTCACCATTTCTGCAGGAACTCAGTGAGAGGGCGTGGCTTGAACCCCTGGGGGTGGTGCGGGCAGGTCCTTTTCAGGTTATTTGCATATAAACACACCCTCTTGCTCTTATTGGTGGAGTGGCGCAAACTGTACTCCCGCCTACCTCGCTACCTAACTGACCCGCCATCTCCTCTCAATTCCAAGCCTCGGAGATAAACTTAACTTGCCCGGAGATTCAAGGCGCTTTCGGCGGCTGCGATTGGCCGGCGCGGCTCACAGCCCGGGTTTGGAAGCTCATTGGTTGTGGGCTGGCGCCCCGGGGGTGTGGCCAGGGCTGTCCGATCAACGGGAGGGGGCGGGACCGGGAGGTGGTGAAGGCGGCGCGGCGGCGGGGGCGGGGCCGCACTGAGGCGCTGCTGCGGCGGCAGCGGCGGCGGCGGCAGCGGCGGGGGCGGCTGCTGGTTCTAGCCTGGCGGGGGCGGGGGGTCTGAAGGATGGGGGCGGGAGGAACAACGGGCCGGTGAGGAGCAGCCGCCGCCGTCTCCGCCGTAGCTCGGTCAGCGCCACTCGCTCTCGGGCCGTCGTCTCCCATCCCGACATCCCGCCCGAGGACGCCGAGGCTGAAGCGCGGCGGGGAGACCGTCTGGCCCTGCGGCGGCGCGGCCGGCGGTGGTGACAGCCTGGCCCGGCCCGACGCGACGCGACCCGCCGCCCGCCCTCAGCACCCGCAGCAATGATGAACCGGGGCGGCGGTAGCCCGTCGGCCGCCGCCAACTACCTGCTCTGTACCAACTGCCGGAAAGTGCTGCGGAAGGTACGGGCTCGGCGGCCCGGCGGAGAGAGGCGCTTCGCGCTGGCCAGATCGCGCCGCACAGCAGGGCGGGCGCTGGGCGAGCTGGAGGGGTCGCAAGACGGTGCGGGGGCGTGGGCGCGGGGAGGCTCCGTGGCTGCAGCCGGTCTGCACCGAGCACGGGCGGACGCCCGCCTCGAGAGGGTGGGATGGGGCGCCTGTGGGTCTGTTTTTCAGCTCGTTTCTACCCTGCTACCCTCGCGATCTGCTCCTCTGAAGGGAGAGACGGGTTGGATCGTTCTCCCAGTGCAGTTTAGCTGTCGATGGAGACCGGTGTGAAATCAGAGCTGCTTGGTTTGATCTCGAGGAACCTGGCTCCCTCTTTGCTGTGGCTAACTCTTGTGGGTGTTTTTGTTATTCGGTTGTTTTTGCCTTGTACTCGGTGCCTACCGCCCCCTTTTCACATTCTTCTGATGGTCCTTCTGTGTCTACAGTTCAGCCCCCGAAAGGAACTGTTCAGGCATCTTGAACTTTATGCCCAAGGGAAATGCTGTTCGACCTCACAGCTCCTCTGGCTAGGCTAGGGTTGGGGGTGGGTACTGAGGTGGATGTGTGTTATCCATTCTTAGCACCCCTCCTGGGTTGATCCAGAAAAATCAGATGCCTCGTCAGTTTATTGCTTCCCATAGTGACTGAAAGTTTACTCCAGTGTTGTTTAGCTTACTTGGTTTAATCGTTGTAGGGGGAACGAAGGGGGAGGGGAGAAGAGGATCAAAAACTCTTTAGCCTAAGAAGTTAGTAGTCAGATTTTAACAGCCTTTTTTGTAGTATTAAAATCAGTTTATTCTCTTCCAAACCCTACTTTTACATTGGAGTAAGTGGAAACATTCGGTGAGTTGTGTTTGTCCAGTACAAATGAATTAAAATTGCTGAGCTGTGCAAACGCCTCGGGAATGAAAGCTAAGATGAATATGGTACCGTTTTTGTCTGTTTCTCTATATACAGTCATTTTGGATGGCTCTTTATATATTTAAAAAAGAATAAAAACAAAGCACATCAATAAGCGAGCTCAAATATTTGCGCTCTTTGTCCAAAAACTGTTTTTCTTCCTCTGTAGGTCAGGCCAAGTGCCAATCAAAGTTGTTTTTCAAGCCTCTTTTCCCTGCAGTAGGGCTGCGCTCCCCCCCCCCCCATTTTATTTGAGAGTGTGAGGAAAGCAAAAGGATTGCAGATTTGAATTTAATCAAACAATTAAATATGCCTTAAATTGTGTTTATTGGATACATTTCTCTTGAAACAGATTTTTATTAAATGTGCATGTTGAGTATGTGCAGTTATTTTTTTCCATAAACTCTGGGATCAAATTACAGTTGATACTTGCTCAGCTCATTGTAGGGCAGCTTGTGAGAAATGTAATGGATCAGAAGTGCAGATCAGTTTAGCTGAATGTTAACTCTTTCATTGCAGGGCCAGATGTCATCTACATTTAGCTTTTTAAAAAATATTATTTCTAGACCTTAAAAGTGAAAAGTTGTGTCTGTAACATGGAAATAGTGTCTTTAAGACATGCTTGATTAAACTTTAGCTAAGTTAAAATGACAGCAAGTTATTTTTTTAATTGAATGGGAGGAGTCTATTGAGTTTGCCAAACTTTTTAAAAAAATCTATCAGAATTTTAGGCTAATACACTTTATTTTTCAAACTTTTTTTAAAAGAGAACTGTCTGCGAATCCATGACACTTTAGTAACATTTAAGAACTCTTTTTATCTTTCTCTTGGATTTTAAGAAACTAGTATTTCTGTTTACCTAGAAGGAACATCCTCATTTCTATTATTAAAAAAAAGAAGTATGTGGAAAATGAGTATTGACATTTTTGTATTTTGTAATTGGTGCACATATCTCTGCCAATATTCCTGGTTTTAGTTAACTAAAAGTATTTAATACTAATTCATGTACTAGCATGGAAAAAGATTAGATGAAAATAGAATTGGTTGTACCAGTTATGACATGACTTGGGCAACATTTGAAGCTTTTTAAGATTGCTATTCTTAAGTGCTCTTAAAAGCAATCAGTATCTAGCAGCTTAAATTCATCATTCTAAAAATAGCATGTAAGGGTTTTTTCCAATAAAGACTTATTTTTCTTTTTCATGGATTATAAATAAAATCTATCCATGCTGCTCAAAATGACTCTTGGACTTTTTCTTGTGTTTTTCATTTATAATAAAGTGTATTATAATAACAAGTCATATCCCTTTGAATTTTAGCTGTGTAGTTCATAATGGAAGAATGAAAATCATGAACATCCAGAGTTAATTATTCTCTGCTGTTACAGTCCTCATTAATGGTGTGGGAAGCATCACCTTTATGCAGAAAGCCTTTCTCTTTGTCAGTGGCTTAATTTGTGGTGATGTATTGAATTTTAGAGATACTTGAAAAGGAAGTTAATTTCCCTTAAATAAAGTAATTTTGTTTAACCTAATATTTGAATATTTAATTGTATATTGTATGAAAATCACATTTATTCTTAGAAATACTTTTACAGTTTTGGTTTAGTTACTTTCAAAACAGAAAAATCTGGAAATATTCAGTGGACTTAATATGGCAACTTGGGTCAGTTAAAAAAAAAAGTAAACCATATACAGCAACAAATGAACAAATAAAACTATCATTAAATCCATAACTCCTATGAAGTCTAACTTGCTCTATTGTCAATTAGTTTAATAAAGTTTTTAATAAAAGAGGAAGTGCTCTTTTCCTTGTAAAGTTAACAAGTTTTGAAATATAACACATTTTTGCATGAGAAATTCTGGTATCTGGATGAATCTCTTTAATAATATTCACAAGTAGAGTACAGAACTGCATTAAAAAAGGTAGGTTATTGTCAGGCCACTCATGTTCCAGTAAAGAAAAGACATTTTACAGTTAGCTTTGAGAACTGAAATGTTGGTACTAAGTGGCTAGAACTTTGGACCAAAAGAATTTAACATTAAAAATTTTTAATATGTTTGGTTTCACTGATACACTTTTCTGTGATATTATTGCACTTGTTCACTTTCTTACACAATCACGTAATTGGACAACCTCTTGTGGCTTTATAATCAAAGGTACTGTCATAATGGAAAAATTTAGTTCAAGCAGTATGAGCTTAATATATACAGCAAAAATTATTAGATATTATATACTAGCAATTTGGAATTGCTTATCCTGTGGACTAGTAGCTATATTCTACTTGGGTTAATCAGGTTTCTTGTATTACACATATTTAATCAAAGGCAGTTTTGCTTAATTTTTATCTTAAGTGGCATAAGCGAGATCAAGTAATGAATTTATAACAGCAAGTTTTTATGCATTGGTTTTGCAGATGCTTTCTACAGAATCCTAAGATGCTTCAGGGGTTGTTTTGGTTTTGTTTTTGGTTTTTTGAGACAAGGCCTCACTATGCAGTTCAGGCTGGCTTTGAACTCACTTTGTAGTCCGGGCTGGCCTGGAACTCTAAGCAGTCCTCCTGCCCCAGCCTCCTGTGTGCTGGGGTTACAGGTGTGTGCCACCATTCCTAGTACTTTAGGGTTTTTAAATGCTTGAGTTGCATTGAATTCTTAAGCATGCTAAAGTTTTTAAAATTTAATTGAAAAATATAGCTATCCAAAAATCTTTACACATAATTTTAACACTTTGGAGCCTATCATAATTATCTTTTGTTACAAGATTGTTCTTGTGTAGGCCTTAAATTATCACTTTTTCTGCTGTGTTTATCGATAGCTAGATCTGTATATTGGAACTTTTTTGTTATTCCATCATGGACTAGAAAGATTGTCATTGATTGTGGAGGCACTTGGTTTTTTTTTTTTTTTTTTTTTTTTTTCAAGAACTCCTTCCTGTACATAGCTACTAATGTTAAATTTAAATTTTTGGAAACAAGTTATTATCAGTAATTATCACTTTGTAGCTAGAAAAGCTATTAACTTACTACTTTTACATATTTGTGTTTCTATGTTCAACTTGAATGTAAGATTTAATTTATAAAGGCATTCTGCTGTTTTTTCCAACTCTGTATCATTGAATAAATGAAAAGCATAACTATTTATGTAGTAATACCAGCAGCCATAGATAAGCTCACAGGTCTTTGATAGAGGTCTTTTAATGAGGGGCAAGTTATTTTATTTCTTTGAAGGCTAGTTTTCTCTGTAAAATGTTGATAATTTTTACCTGCTTTACAAGTTGCTTCACAGCTTAAGAGAGATATGTGTTAAGTACTTTCTACCATGAACTACAACTATAAATGCAAGGAGAAAAGAACATATATTTTCCTTTTTTCTAGAATATCTCAGTTCTTTGTGTGTTTGAGAAATATAGTTCAATATATATTGAGTAATTTGGTTAATATTAACTCTTCAGTCCTGTTTAAATGTTACTGTGAGAGATAAAGATTATGATTTTAATTAGAATGATTTTCTGCATATTTTTTATTCCCACATTTCTGTTGGTATCCTCCTTAAGTGGTAATGCAACACATTGATTTGAAATTTTTCAAATAAATGAAACTGCCTCTGACACTTAAGTGGAAAAGGGAAATTGATAGTTGGTTTGAAAAGACAGAGAATTAAGGATGTTTGTGCTTAATAAATGTGCAGGGCAATCCAGGATATAGCAAATTAGTTTTAATTTTTAGTAAGTTTAGAAGAGTTGTGGAAGTAAAAGTTCTCCACGCCCCCATCTCCATGTTTTCTCTCGCTTCTGTGGAAGGTATTGGGTTAGAATAACAAGTTTGCATTGACTTTGACCATTTTTAGAGTGATTTCTCATTTTATCAGTATTTTCTCACAAACTGATGTATGATCACTGCTATACAATAGGTTCATTTATGTCTTAAGACTTTGCAATGAACTGTTTGAATTGACCCTGGTCGTACTGAGGTTTACAGTGAATGTCTCCACTCCCACTTCAGCATCTGTAGAATACTCATGCATAGGTGCCTAAAATTCCCCAGGTAGTAATGATTGGAAACATGCAAGTTGTCCACT